TATTGTTTCGTTTATGTTTTTACACTAAAGTTTTCATATTATGTAAAAGTTGCTTGAATACATTTACTAAAATACTCTTACTATAATTTAAAAATTTATACCTTAGTTGTTTACTATAATTTAAACTCTGTTAAACTTGTACTTATGTTGGTAAGACAGTTTTATAGTGTCTGCATATATTTGCATTGAATGGATTCGTTCATTTATTTAGAAGACATTGCTGATTACTTCCTGTGTTCAAGACTTACACACAGGGTCAAGTGGGGAACAAAACAGATGTGAGCTCTACCGTCATGGAGTTTAAAGTCTAGGAAGGGGTATGGACTTAAAGAATTGCATGATAAATACTTAGTTACAGATTGCAATATGTGATATAAAGGAAACATAGAAATGCTAAGGAAGGAGAGTGGTAAGTCTTTTGGATTTTATTTTTAAGAATGAAAGGATACTATTCAAGGACTTTAAGCAACCAGTGACATTTAAAGTGGGTGACATTTAAAAATAATTACTAGCTGCTGTGAGCAGAATATATCTTATAAGAATAACAACAGGGCTGGCTCCCTGCTAGGAAGCAGTTGCAGGATATTGCGTGCGACACAATAGTATCATGGTCTTGCGTGCGACACAATAGTATCATGGTCTAGACCCTAGGGGATGGTGCTGGTGGGTACTTGGATTTGGAGTATATTTTGAACATAGGTCAATGGCGTGAGATTGTAGGTCAGTATTAAATACCTATCTAATTTTTCTTTGTAAGACATTTTAGGGTGCCTGCCATGTTAAGTGTATCTCTATTGTAACGATCATTTAAAAGGAAATAAACCATATTTCCTTACCATCATTTACCAAAAGTGTCATTACTGTGTCAAAAGCTATGAACATTTGTATGGTTCTTGATGAATGTTGGAATTGCTTTCCAAAAGGATTTTGCCTGTTTATTGTATCACTAGAAATGTTTGAGTTCTATCTATGATAAACTTTTGCCAGCACAATATATTTAGAAAAGGTTTTTTTTTTAACTACTTAATAAAGTAAAACAATAGTACTTTAACTGGGAAAGAAGCAAAATACATGGAATAACATCCTGCACTTAATATTTTACTACATTGAGCTAAAGTGCTTTATTTTATCATAACTTCCAAAGGATGTTAGTAACCTATGTACCTGATCTAAAAGTTTATTCTATTTAAAAGACTGGCAATAATACTAATTAAGAATGTTTGGTCTTGATCCTTTTCTATTCTTAACTAGTTTCTTTTTACAATCTGTGCTTTTTAAAACTGGTTGGGCTTTGATAACCTATACTTTCTCAGAGTGGTGGTTTATTTATTTTTTAAGTAAAAAGGAATAAATAATATGTGTTGAGAATACTTCAGATTCGTGTAAAGGTATTTTATTAGCCTAGAATGGGATTGACAAACTTTTCCCTGAAGGGCCATATGAGTCTTTGTGACATAGTCTTTTTTTTTTTTTTTTGAACAACCATTAAAAATGTAAAAACTATTCTTAGTTCATGGGCCAGATAAAAACAGATGGGCAGGATTTGGCCTGTGAACAATAGTTCGCTGAATTCTTACTTAGATTCTAATCTTGGGAAAGAGTTTACTTACACTGAAGACAAAATTTTTTCCTGCCTCCATATACTTCTTTCTAATGCTTAACCTAAAGTTGGAACAAAATCTTTAGTATTTGTATATTGATTTTTGTTGTGCTTGTTTTCTGCTTTGTTATTAAACCTGTCAGGTTTCTTTTTTCCCCCCAGATCATGCTTTGGCTTTTTACAGTTTTGTTCTTAAGTTTTTACCAGGTTGTATTGCCTTTTTATATAACTCAGTGATATTGTGCTTCTAAGGATGACTCTAGTTAAGATTAACTTGGGAAATACTGAAGTTTTAACCTAAATCTAATACTTCTAATCACAGATTCTACTCATTATTTACAAGTAGGTTGTAGATTACTTTTTTTCGGTAACTGAATGTGACACAGAACTTAGCTGTTAATATTTTTAAGGTTTGGAGAGGAAAGATAATAGGAGTGAGATGGGCAGGTGGACAGGTGGGGACTGCTTTCCCAGTCTCTCCATCCCTTCAGTGGAGTATTCATCACAGAAACATGTTATGAAATACATGTGAAAACTACTAATACTCCACATTAAATATGTTTGAAACACAAAGTATTTGAAAATTTTGTAAATGGGACTTCATTGAGCTACATCTGGGAGGCATTATATATGGGCAGATAGATGGTGAGTAATACCCCCAGCCACCTCTTAAGTATAGACTTGTGTGGCTCCAGAAACTACAGTTTTTCATTTTGTTATTGGTAAAACATTTAATATATAAAGAATAAGGAAACTGTCAACTATTAGGTTGACTTGGGTTAGTATTGATGAGTAAAGAATGTGAAGTGACAGCAGCAGGTAAGGAGAAGTCTTTGGTTGCTAGCCACACCTGGGTAATGAGTGGATTGCTCTCAATTTCTGCTATTTCATTATACTTCAAAAACACAAAACATTGGTTTTCAACTTACAATATACAAGAGTTCTTTCAAGTAACTAAGGAAATAGGTGAAAATAAAATGTCAACCAAACATTTGAATTTTTAGCAAAGACCTTCTTGCTTAGAAAATAAAAAGCCATCCCTTATTTTTGATTGGTTTATTATAGATAGTATGGAAAATTATAGTTTACTTTAAAAGGTAAGTATGAGATCATAATCTAATATGGTAGTCTTTAACACTTTTAAAAATTAAAAGCCAAAAAGGGAAAGCATTTAACGTAGCATCTAGTACCAGAAAAGAGAGAGAAGCAGGAGATAAATTATTTCTTAAATTATCTCCATCAAAGACAGCCTTTATTAACATTTTTATGTAATACCATCAGTTTTTAAATATATGTACGGATATATTTATACTGATATATACATATATTTGATTGTATATGTAGTGATCATGCTACATATATATGGATGAGCAAAAGTAGGTTTACAGTTGTATGTGTGGAAGATAATACAATAAAAATAATAATTTAAGAATAAACTTGGTTTACGTACTCACAACTGGAAACCCACTTTTGCCCATCCCTAGAGATATGTATCTTTGTATTCTCCTACTGTAAACATTTTAAAAATATATCAAAAAACATAATTTTTAATGACCATTCTCTTTTAGTGATGGAATGGTCTATAAAATGATTTATGAAATGAAGACACTTTAGTGCTAAGCCCACATGTGGAATAGTAAGAAACAGTGCCCCTGGTTTATACTGTATACCCATCAGCAGCCCTGCCTCTTATTCTGCAACTTCACATTGCATCATTTCTTTTTCTTTATCTTTTTGGAGGTCTGTTTTGGGAGAGAGTATGTGAAATCTTTAACCATGAGTATTAATCAAAAGTCAAGGAAAATTAGAGTTTCATTTTAAGATTCTGTTAATGTTACCTGCTCTCTTTTTCTTTACTCAGTCTTAGAGTTGCTTAGTCTCTTTAAGATATGTCTCTCCCCTCTCCACCCTGCCTTTAACAGAGGCCAAAAAAAAATTGCAGATAGAATAATCATGCTTTTTAGAGTTATCATAGTATCCATCTGGCTGTGAGATATTGTTCCCAGGATTTCAGAAAGGGATAAAGGCATTAAAATCCTTGTTATTGACCATTCTCTTTGTATTCTTTTAACTAAAAGTAAAATAGATGCATGACTTTATTTGTAAACTGATTTTTTCTTGCCATCTAAATCATCCTGAGTGACATAGTTCATAGAGCTATCCCATTTTTGTAATAATGATTTTTTATAAGAATTTTGGTCTTTTTGGTATTAATATATACACTTGCATTGTTGAATCTCGTGTAATATCTCGTGTAATATCTTTTTAAGAATTGTGGAGATTTTTACCAGAATTTAACATTGTAGCCATTTTTCAGTGACATTAAGTAAATTCAGAATATTGGGTAACCATTAGTTCTGCTTTCATAACTTCATCACCCCAAACTAAAATTCTGGTCCCTCTGAACAATAACTCTTCAACCACACCCTAGCCTCAGGTAACCTCTATTCTACTTTTTGTCTCTGTGGCTTTACCTATTTTAGGTACCTCATTTAAGTGGAATAATAGGTATTTGTCTTTTTGTGTTTTTGTCTTTTTGTCTGACTTATTTCACTTAGCATTATGTTTTTAAGGTTCATCCATATTGTACTACATATCAGAATTTTATTTATTTTTTTAAAGATTTTATTTATTTGTAGAGAGAGGGGAAGAGAGGGAGAGATACATCATTGTGTGGTTGGCTCTTGCGTGCCCGCAGTCGGGGACCTGGCCTGCAACACAGGCATGTGCCCTGACTGGGAATTGAACCAGTGACCCTTTGGTTCGCAGTCTGGTACTCAGTCCACTGAGCCACACCAGCCAGGGCAGAATTTTACTTCTTTTTATGACTCAATAATACTTCACTGTATTTATATACCACATTTTGCTTATCCACTTATCTGTTAATAATCACTTGAATTCTTTCTACATCTTGGCTATTGTAAATAATGCTGCTGTAAATATTAGCATGCAAATACCTGTTTGAGTTCCTGCTTTCAGTTCTTTTGGTTATATACCAAGGATTGGAATTGCTGGATCATGTGTTAATTCTGTTGTACTTTCTTGAGGAACTGCCAAATTGTTTTCCACAGTGGCTGCACCATTTTACATTCCCACCAGCAACCGACAGGAATCTAGTTTCTCCATATCCTTGCTAACACTTGTTATTTTCCCTTTGGAAAAAAAAATGGCATTCTAATGGCTGTGAAGTGGTAGCTCACTATGGTTTTGATTTGCATTTCCCTGATGATGATGAACATATTTTTATGTGTGTATTGGCCATTTGTCTGTCTTTAGAGAGATGTCTATTCAAGTCATGTGCCCAGTTTTGAATTGGGTGCTTTTTCTTGAGTTGTGTGTAACACCTTTATAAAAGTAAAAGTACACCATAATAATCTAGACTGTGTTTCTCCCTTCTCAGGATTCCTACAGGAAACAAGTAGTAATTGATGGAGAAACCTGTCTCTTGGATATTCTCGACACAGCAGGTCAAGAGGAGTACAGTGCAATGAGGGACCAGTACATGAGGACTGGGGAGGGCTTTCTTTGCGTATTTGCCATAAATAATACTAAATCATTTGAAGATATTCACCATTATAGGTGGGTTTAAATTGACTATAATAACTTGACATGGAGGAGAAATTGCGTCTTCCATTTATTGAGTCTTTGCTAATCACCATGGATAAATTATCTAATTTAAGTTTTAGAATAATTATGAGGTAGATAATATCCCTATTTTACAAATGAACTTCTTGAGGATTAGAGAAGTTGTGTAACTTGTTCCAGATCGCGTAGTTGGTGGTGGCACTGGGATTGAAACTGAGGTCTGTTTGACTCTGACACCTGTGCTCTTAACCATTCTACACTAAGGAAACAAAGCTTTATGCTAGAACCATTCTAAAAATGAAAGCCATCAACAAAAATACGAAAATACAATTGAGGTAGTGCCACTCAGACAGCCTTAAAGATAATCAAGTGTAGTTAGTGTAGAATTTCTTGGAATTGTGCGTTAGATATTTAAGAACCACCACCCCCCACTCTAAAGTCGTAATAGATTGAAGTATTAGAACAGTTAGTTTTTAAAGAAACTGACAAATTAGCCTAAAACTGACTACCTTTGTTAAAATAATCACTATTGTATTAAGTGTAGTTTGTATTCTGTTTTTTGAAGCTTTATAGTTTTCATAAAACTTCATATTAAGCAAGTACCCTATTCATCAGCTATGTTCATTTAACAGTGAGTTAGCCTAGTTAAGAGCTTTACCATATTACTGAACATTTCTTACATTTTTCTCTATAGTCTAGTAATTGAGAAAAAGAAATTTGGATGGGTGATAATATTTTTGTTGATTAACTGGCTTTTTTTATTTCATGCTGCATCTTTGAAATTCACTAAAAAATTTGAAGGAATATAAATTTTACCCCACATTTAGAGTTTATGCACATCTTATCAAAGAAGGACTTACAGAATAAACAGTGTAGCAACATCAGTGTTGTCCACATAGAAATCAAAATCTTTTCCACTTGGCACTCTCTTTTGTGAGAAAGAAATATGAAGATTATGTTAATTTTGTAATGAATGCTTTTATTAAAAATAACTACATAAACATTTAAGAATATATATGTTTCAAAGATTATTTTAAAAATTAGGCATAGCATCTTCTTTGGTCTAAAATTTTCGATATTTATCAGGTGACGTACCTGCGTATGAACCTATTAGATGGTAGTTTTAGTATATTTCTAGGTATTTGACCTTTTAAGAGACACAGTTCTCTGTTTAAGATGGAGAAAAACAATAATGGCAGGGAGAAACAGGGAAAATTTGGTGTGGTGTGAACCAGGAATTACATTAAAAGTTTTCTCCCAGCCATATTTTATAGGAAAAGGTGTGTACAATTTTTGAAAGAGTTTTGTATTTTTAATACCTCTCATGTAACTTTTTCCTCCCCAGGGAACAAATAAAAAGAGTTAAAGACTCTGAAGATGTACCTATGGTCCTAGTAGGAAATAAATGTGACTTGCCTTCTAGAACAGTAGACACAAAACAGGCTCAGGATTTAGCAAGAAGTTATGGAATTCCTTTTATTGAAACATCAGCAAAGACAAGACAGGTAAGTAAAATCGTAATACAAATCTATTCTCTGCAAACCATATCAAGTGATTTTAATTATTAATCATAGGTTACTAATATATCTCCTAATAATGTCATTTTGGGAGCAGGAGGGCAAGAACATAAATAAATGTATACATATACCTGAGAGCAAAAGTGTTATATTGTTTAATGTAATTTATCAATTTTTCTTTCCATTATATTAACATAGGAAGTAAAATGCTATTTATTTGGTAGATGTTCCCTTAAGGATATGACAGGGCAGTGCTGCTTAATCCAGTCTATGGTATTACTTTTGGCTTTGGTTTTGTTCCTTATTGAACACTCTCTTCAACTCAGCACATATTACACGCAGGACTAAAGAAATGTGGGAAATTTTTTTTGGCTGTTAGATTTATAAAGTGAAAGAACAGGGGAACACATATTGAGTTCCTATTTTAGAAGTGCCATTAAGAGTCTTATGTCATGTTTGTAGGTTGAATTTTGTTGTATTTGAGGTATTTTACTTAGGTAGAACTTTTTTAAGGATATGTTTATTCTTGAAGGAAGTTTTCATTAAAGCAAGAGAATGTTTAGAAAATAAATAGAAATTCTCGGTTACTCATTCACTATGTTGTTCTGACAAAAATTAATGCAGGTTGATCTTGACTTTTGTTTCAAAAAAAATGCCCATATTTTAAAAGTAACTTTTTTCTCTAGGTAAAATGAAATAATTTCAGTTCATTATTTATGTATGAAATAAGAGTTTATAGGAAATATATAGAAAGAAATAATAAATAAGGATATGACAGAATACAATTTTCATATACTAAGAAATTGGTTAGTTTATGTACCATACAAAATGAACATTTGTTTTGGGCTTTGTCTAGTTACATGTACCTGTGAGTCCAGAAAACTGGAATACTAGGAGTTAAGAAAATTGATGAACTCATTACATGTTGAACCTACAAAAACTTGAAGTTTCATTGAATTTTGTAAAGGGGTAAAAACTTAAAAGTAAGTCATCATTCAGCTAGGATATATGTCTCTTTCCCCAGTGGAAATGTACTACTTCCTAGTTGTACAAATTTGGTACACAGTGAAAAACCAGTGAATTCTATTTTAAGTCTTTGTTTTCAGATTAAAAGCTGAATTTCTGTAGTTTGATCATAGTACAAATATCTCATTTCAAAACCTGTTTTATAGGTTAAAGAAAGACTTGACATACAGCATTTCAGAAGAATTAAGATTTTATTCACATTCATTCCCAGGTCCACAGGCTGGGAGGAGGTTACATTTTTTTTCACTTTTTCTTTTGACTGGTCTTCTCTGACCAGATTCCTTGTTTTCCTTTAAGAGAAGAGGTACTCAAAAAACATAACTGTAATATTTATAACTTTCTCTCCCAGCATTTTCTTATGAAAAATTTGCTAATATAGAATTAAAAGAATTTTATTGAAAGCTTCTGCAAACCTACTACTTAGATTATACCATTAACATTTTAACTTGCACTATTTACTATTTGTAACTTTTTAAAAATACTTTTGTAACTACTTAACATTTTATTTTAAATTTTATAAAGTAAAAACCAAGAGGCTTTGCCTAATGTAAAGAATTGCAGATAGAGCAGCGATTCTCATACTTTAATATGCATATGAATGAACTGGGCTCATTGAAATCTAGATTCTAATTTCCTGGGTCTAGGTTGGGACCTGTGATTCTGAGTGTCTTAACAGGCTCTCAGGTGATGCTGATTTTGGTAGATGGACCATAGTTGGAGTAGAAAGGCAATAGAAAACAATAAAAGGAAGTCTTGATATTCTCACAGTGTTGCCCTCCACTTCTCAGTTGATGACCCTAAAATAGCTGTGTCTTCTTTCCTTGTTCTGTGGTTACTGTCTCAGAAGTACCAAGTGTTAATTCTTAGTGTTTGATGTTAATGCTTTAATATACCACAGCATTCATAATCAGAAAACTGCCTGGTTTCCTTTTAAAATAGATTTTTAGGTTTTATACTTTTTTTTGTGGGGGGTGGTTGGGAAAGATGTATGTAATGTGTTTGATACGGAGTGAATTAAATTTGCTTTGTAGAAATTTATGTGGATCATCTAATTTAAATATTGAGTGATATAAAGGAATACTTTATTTCTTAACCTAAGTGTGCAACTTTCTTATATTTAAATCCTGTTTTATTGATATATTTATGTAATTTATGTTGCTAAACTATAACTCAATAGTTTCTAGTCTTTGATTTTTTTATTACATAGACTTGTTGATTTTCATCTTCTGTTGAAATTAATTTGATATTTGCATGCATTTGGAAGACTTTATAAAGATTTATTCAAGTACTAATTGTGGAGATTATAAAATGGAACATTTAAATTTTATAAATTTTACATCTCCAGTGTTTTGTGAAAATTTTAGGCCCTATTTTCTCCAGAATATTTTGTTACTTATTTGCTAATTTTTATTTGTTATTTGAACAAAAGTATGCATATCCTTGTTGTATTTTATTAACAGCTATTTATTTCATGCCCCAAGTTTGGGTCTTGAACGTGAACCTAAAACACAAACACCAAAGAGAATTAGTTTCAAGTTAGTAGGAACATGACATTCATTTAGAGCTTCTCATAGATGTAAGTCAGAGGCTGGCACACTTTCTCTGTTAAGGGCCAGATAATAAATACTTTAAGCATTGTGAGCCACAAAGGGTATCTATCCATTGCATTTTTTCTTATAACCCTTTAAACATGCAAAAATCATTCTTAGCCTTTGGGCAGTACAAAAAATAGACGGTGACTACATTTGGCCTTCTGGTTGTAGTATTGATAGCCAGTTCTCTGGGGAACTGTATTTGATTCAACACTAGAAGGTAGGACAGACTTCTCAACTTAAAATTACTAATGTAAGCCTGTAAGGATTTATAGTAAATCCTTCTGTTCTGTGAAAGAGAGGTGGCGGGGGGGTAATGGAAAATTTCTTCTAGTACTTTTTTAAGGTAAGGGTTGCCAAATATATTTTACCAACTTTAAAAAGCCCTCTACGTGGCTAGGATATAATGAATTGTATTTATTTACAATCATTTTAGTCCATATCTGAACAGCTAAAGTAATTTTTATTTTTTGCTAGTATGCTGTATGTGGTCCCTATGTCCCTACTTTGTAAAGACTGCTGCCTAGTGTATGTTTATCTAGGCAGTTAGGAATGGCCAGGTTTTCCTGGCTTCCTTGGGTAGTGCACGGCCGTGTGGGCAAAGGCTGTTGAAACCAAAACATTGGCACCATGGTAGTTGGCTGTGTGTTTTCCAGTCAGCTAAAATCAGAAGTGGGGAGGCTCCGTAAAGTGGATGACAGAAGCAGAATTCTCAGCCTATCTGCTACTCCTGATTCAGCTTTTTTGCCTTCTGGAGGTCTCAACTTGAGCATTATGTGAAAATTAGTTTTATGAACTTAAAAATTTTGAGTGATTGCATCCTGGTTTTTGTTCTTAATTTCTAGATACCTAAAATTAGTTGTTAAAGACCTCCATTAAAGAAAACTTTTGACCAAATCATTTTAACAAACCAAATGGAAGGCGTTATGTGCCATATTTTTGTTTAATAGTAGTTGAATTTGTGTATATGAGATCAATATTTTGGACTTTAGCTTTTTATGAGTTAAAAATGGAACAGTTACTGAGCACCTGCTGTGCACCATACCAAGCCTCCCAATTAGGGGCATTGCTGCATTTCAGTACCTAAGATGGGCTATAGTTTGAAAGGTTTCTTGAGAAATTTGGCATTGCAAATTTGCTTTTTAGAATATACCTTGTTCTTCCCATTCCTCTTCCCAAGGAAAGCTAGTATTCTTGCATCGGTTTATAATTAGTGTGTTTGAAGTGTTATTTCCTTGAAAGAATTTGGGAGAATTTTAGCAGATAATAAGCCATTTGGTAGGAACAAATACCGGTACTTGTTTAAAAAGAAATCTCTTAGTGAAAGCACTATAGCCACCAGAATATGGAATGGTGCTGTTGACAGTTCTTTCTCTAGTATGGAATGCTCTATTACCTTAGTCTCATACGTATATTTTCAGATAATAGCTGAGCTGAAAATATCATCAAATGTCTTGATTTTTAAAAATTTACATGTACAAACTTGTACACTATTGTTCCTAATAAGTATTTTCAATTGTTCTTAAGGTTTGGTAACTGACCTTTGAAAATGAGTGTATGTGGCAATAAGCTGTATTGTCAGGAATAAATCATTAAGTGCCAGTTAAGAGTTTAGCAACTAGCCACAGTTGGGTATTGAATATGTTTCAGCTATACTTAATCTTTAAAAATTACCTACAAATTTTGGCATATGAAACCAGTGTTCTTTGCTCGTGCCAGTAGTTTAAGGTACACACAAGGATAATCTCTTATGTCCGTATGATCTTGAAATATGTTACCAAAAAATAAGAAATGTTAAATCTGAGAAAATATGGTAAATAATTGATTCTTTAAAACATAATTTAAATTTCCTAGTAATAAAAATTAGTGAAAAGCCACTTTGGAATAACTTTCTCACGGTTATATTAGCCACTGAGCTCCTAATACTGAATATTTTGGTGGTGGGTAGTAGTCTCTTCTTTTTAATCATTGGCTTCCAATTCTCTCTCTGCATTGCTGGAAACAAGATCACATATTCTGGTATTGGTGATGGGGATGTGCACATTTACAAAGTAGACTCTTTCAAGCTGATTTTAGAAGTAAGTTGCAATCAAACTTTGCTTCTGCTAAATTAATAGAGGACCAAAACCCTGTTTTTCTCCTCTCCTAGTATGTTTTAAGTACTTCTACATTGACCTTGTAACTTTTTAAAAACAGGAGAAAATCTTTACATTCTTAAAAAAATATGAGCTTTTACCTGGTTTGTTTAATTTATACATTTAAATTTCTTTCATTAATTTTCAAAGTAAAAGAATTATTTGTGAAGATTTCAAATGCCAGTTCATGCTTTACATTTTACATGCTATACAAAAGTCATTTTGTTGCCTTAAATTGCTTATATTATTGAACATTGATAGTTTCAAATATATATATTTTTTCAAGGACTTAAGAGTAAATATAATTTCTCTCCTTGAGAATTAATGGTAAATATAAAATATTAAAATTTTATATACTGGTACAAGTGGTTATGTAATTTAAAGTACCAACATATTTGATGACTTCAGAAAGTGGTTGGAAATTTTTATTTTGCAGTGAGCTTAGCTAGCTAGTTGATTAAATTGATTTCATTAAAAATAAGATTAATTTTCATGAGCTATAGTGGTTTTTATTTGAGATAGCTGAATAAAAATGTATCCCTGGATGGTATAAGCAGATTTTGAGATGTACTTTTTTTAAAAAGATTTTCTTTTTTTATTTTTAGAGACAGGGTAAGTGAGGGTGAAAGAGGAGAGAAACATCCAATGTGAGAGAAAAACATTGACTGGTTGCCTCTCATATGTTCCCAGACAAGGGACTGAACCTGCAACCCAGGCATGCCCAAGCAGGAATTGAACTGGCGACCTTTCGCTTTGAGGGACAACGCCTAACCGACTGAGCCACACTGGTCAGGGCTTGAGATATACATTTTACTTATAAACAATATATTATTATAATGCCCACTTCTTAACTGAAACTGAGTTTTATGAGTTTAATGTTTTACTTTTATGATAAATTACCAAATTCTAGTGAAGGAGTTCTTGATATATTTTTGAGATTTATAAAAAATTAATATACCCTAAAGAATTGAAGTGCCTTTTTTTTTCTTTTATAAATAAGCAATGGATGTGTGATGACTTCTGCATGCAAAAATTAAGCCTTAGCTGTCAATTTCATTTAATACTTAAATGACCAATTCTCTGTACCTGATTTAATTTAAAACTACAAATTATACAATTGATATGTGTTAGCTTTTGGGGTGCTGGGAGCACTTGGTCACATTTAGTTCATAGAAAGACTGATGTTACCAATCCCAGAGAGTTAAAATATTCCAATCCCCATAGTAATTAATTCATTCCTAAAATTAAAATTTAAAACATTAAACTTAAGTTAAATGTGCAATAAAATAGACCAGCTTTCCTAAGCACTTAATTCATTCTTTAAGAAGAATGTGCACTGATACCGAATCTTTCAAATTAATTTGCACTACATGTAGATTAATATTTGTGTTTCTTTTTTAGATATAAGCTTCTGCTTTGGTGATAGAGTTTTCTGGACAAAGTAGGAGTACATCAGTTTAACTAAACACTTGTCCCCATTGGCTGTGGCCTAATTTTTTGGACTGGGAAAGACATTAAAAACTTTGTTCACCTTCATGTGACCATATACAATTGTGTTTGTCATAGCTTTCTTTACATGGTCTTAAGCAGAAGTCCCTTTTCCCTGTTTAGAGTATTTGAATTAAAATCGAAACTATGAGGCCAGTATAATTGGAGACTGTTCTAAAAATTTTTTAAACTTGTAATCAGGATACAGAATGCACTGCTACTGTTTTTTGTTAAGCAATTCATAATATTTAGAATTTTATGATAAACAGCCCTCATTTAGCAGTTTTCTTTAAATAATGTAGTTATCTATCTACAAAAGTCCCAGTTTCAGCTCCACTTGTCCATCCTGGAAATTCACTGGACAGTGTTGTCATTGAAGGGAGAACTCAAGATTCTAGTCTCTTCATCTGACTTGTTTTCAAGATGTGTATGTGTGTGGGTTTTTTTGTTTGTTTGTTTTGTTTTTTTTTAAAGGAAGATTAAAATCCTTTTGTACCACTTTTCTTCTTACTTCCCCCTTAGGGTTGGAATGGGAGGGGTGGGGATCAGGGCTACTTCATAAAGCATCTGGTCTCCCTAAGTTAAACAATTTAAATCTAACTTTAGGTTTTGATTAATTCAATGACTAGCAAAGTAAAATGATTGCACTAATACAAGTAACTAAGTTTTTCATCATGTCCTCTAATTGCTAATTTAATTCTTTTAACTTTTAATTCCATTACAAAACTGACTTTAAAGAACAAACCAGGATTCAAGCCATATTTTAAAACTGCATCCCCAGTTTTATTCAATCAATTTGATGTCTGTTTTAAAAAGAAATTCTCAAGTAAAGCTCATAATTTCAAACTTCTTGCACATGGCTGTCCCAATAAATTATTATTACCAATGAAACAGACTTTAAAGAAGTTGTGTTTTACAATGCAGAGAGTGGAGGATGCTTTTTATACATTGGTGAGAGAGATCCGACAATACAGATTGAAAAAAATCAGCAAAGAAGAAAAGACTCCTGGCTGTGTGAAAATTAAAAAATGCATTGTAATGTAATCTGGTAAGTTCAGCATATTAATTTTGGCAGAAAGCAGATGTCTTTCAAAGGTAACAAAGCAGCAACCACTTTAGAACTACTGAGGTGTGGGCTTTTAATTTGAAATACTAAAAGAAACCCCAGAGGGAGGTGGGTGTGGAGGGACAGGTGAAAATGGTGAAGGGGAATAAGAGGTAAAAAAATAGAAATTCCAGGAAGAATTAAAAAACATGTCTTTAAAAAAAGAAATCTGTAGTTTGTTTCCATAATTGGTATATTTTTATTTTTAATTTATGGAAATTAATTATAATTGAGGCAGTTTTGATGACATAGACTAATCTACATTTGTCACAGGGTCTAGAAAGAAAAAATACTAAGAAACTATATAGAGTAATAAGGCTGAATGGCCCAGAAGGTGAAAAAGGGCCACTCTTAACAATTCTAACTCAGTGGTGTCAACATCACTTTTTACCGAGGTCAAAAACCTGGGAGTCTTTGGATGACCCCTTCATACTTCTTTTTTACCCCCATGTAGAGACAACCATAAATTCCTATGATGTTACATTCTAACGTTTTCGACATCATTAGTTCACACCTCTTTGGTTTCTTCCTGGAACTATTAGAACCTCTTATTTGGTTTACATGTTGCTGCCTTCCTTCACAGTGCAACCAGAGAGATATACTTAAATACCATTCTCTTATCTTTAAATCCAGTCACTGACTTCCTGTTAACTATGGAATAAAATCTCAGATTTCATAGCATGTTACAGATGGCTCTTAACATCTTCTTACCCTCCAGCCTTTGGCCTTAGCTCTAAAAACTCCTTGAAAATTTTTTTGTCCTTATGTAAATGAACACCATGTATTTTGCTTATCTTCCCTCCAGGCTCGGCTGTTGCTCTTGTTTGGAATAATAGTATTCTTATCCTCTAGTCTTAATTAACTAACACTCATTCATGATTCTCTAATCTATTCTCTAAGAATCTTTCTTCAATCCCTTAGACTGAGTATAATGCCCTTGTGTATTCTCAGTATAGTATTTTTAACCATTATGCACTTACCCTGTTATTTTGAAATGACCTCTTTTATATTTGATTGCTGTACTGTAAGATCTTAGAGAGCCAGAATCACATATTTTTAATTTTTGCATGACCATGGCCTAATGAGGTTCCTGGCACTTAATAGCTGCCCAATTGGATTTTATTGTGTGAAATTTCTCAATTTCCTTTCTTAAATCAACCCATATTAAATTTGGTCTTGCTCAGAAAACATTTTACTCAATAGATGCCATAAACTTCATGCCAAAGCTTAAGATTTTGATGTTATGTTGTTTGTAATAAATAATGTTCTGTGAGGATTTGAGGTAAAATTGTAAGTTATCACATATTGTGCAGATTAAACTAAAAGTAGGTAGTCTTTATTATATGATTTTAAGGTCAGAAATAATGTGGCTCCCAAAGGAATAACATATACATTGGAATAGATTTTGCTCCAAAAGATACTATGTGGTCTAGTACTAATCTAAACTCAGAAGAGGAAACAAAGCATGACTGGCATTAATTGTTATTGAAATTTATGAACTCTTAATAGTTTTTAGTATCATTATCTAAAGAATATATTAATTTAGAAGGTGTGGTAAAATATAACTATTGCAGTGCATTTTGAAAAGCCAAACTTCTTAAATTATAGTAGTCATGACCAGATTTAAGTGATTGTTTAATTTTTAATTAAATTTAATTTAGTTTTAATTTTTTATTTTCTCATTATCTATTTTAAATGAATTTTTAAAGTAGAACTATTTAGAATAAAATAAGTTTTGTGCTTTAATTTTTACTTAAAGATGGAATCAGAATACTTCTCTAAAATACCTCGTTTGTGCAAACTGTATTTTCAGTGCCTATGTATTGTGAATGTCAGATAATTGGGCACGATGAATTGAATCCTTGTTTTTTTCAATGGACATGGATGGCAAGGAAAAAGTGTACTTGTTAATACTTAACATTGTAAATGAAAATATTTTTACAAAATTAATTTTACAATGATAAATAGATACCAGTTTTCTTAGCTCAAAAATGGATGAGTTTAAACAAAATAATTACTGGGATGCTACTTTTGTCTTATATATGTGTATATGAGAATGACTAGTTCCTATATAAATAAAGGCATTTACTGCTTTGTTTTGATTAATTGTAACATTTCCCTAATCATTGAAATTATTTAATTTCAGTAAGATTGGGTAGAAAGGAAAATTCAGTGCAATATGAACCTAAAGTATTTGTCAGAATCTTGGAAGGAGATAATGTTAACAGATTTGGGTTTTGTTGTCTCCTAAATACTTGCATTGTTTTCAACTTAAAATGTGTTCTTCTCAGCCCTGGCTGGTGTAGTTTAGTGGATTGATTGCAGGCCTGTGAACCAAAAGGTTGCTGGTTTGATCCCCAGTTAGGGCATATACCTGGGTTGCAGGCCAGGTCCTCATTCAGCAGGGGGATACACGAGAGGCAGCCACATATTGATGTTTTTCTCCCTCCTTCTTCTTCCCTTCCCTTGTCTCTAAATCTAAATAAATAAAATGATTTTTTAATGTGTTTTCTGCATCCATCTTATGGTTTTTCCTTTCATCTGCTTTACTATTTTAGTACCTTTGATATTTTTCTTCATTGTAAAAGTTGAAATAGAGTAGACTACGTATGGATATGTGATCAAAGAATTTGTGATGGTTAAGTGAGGTGAATTTAGATCCTCTTTTAAGTATTCCATTCTAAGTGTTTGTGATTATAAATTAGGGGATGGTGAGCTATAAAATTATTTTTTATATCATTAGAAGTTTTTGCTTTTTATTTAAGATGAGCATGAGGGTTTACGTATATTAAGCTTTGATTATACTGCTGATAAATTGTCTTGTCACATTTTCTTACCACTTTGGGTGAAACAAAACATATTGTATCAGTAATGGTATCACAAAGTGGGGAGCATTCAGTGAGTGCAGCTTGGCGGCTTTATTGGGGAACTTTTAATCATTCAAGTCAATAATGCTGGTTTTTATCTTACTAATATGTGTTTAAATGTGAGCAGACCTCATTACTATTCTGTTCACTTTTAAAATATTGGTAATACTTTTTTGAGTTTTGTGTGTATTGTGAAATGTAACTTGAAAATGCCCGCATTTAATTTTGCTATGATTTTTAAATACTAATTTTGGAAGATTTTAGTAATACAATAAAGGAGAAACATCAGTTAAATTTTAAATTATTTTCAGGATAATGTAACAAATGTTTTTATATGAATTATCAGCAGAGATGGTGGAAATGAGTAGAAGCCCCATTTTCATTGTTCTTAAGGTGACTTGATTTATTTATACAATTTCATTTGTTGGGTATTTGTTCCTAGGACTCCCTCTAGTGTCTAGGTTTAAAAATATCAGTATGTTAACAAGCTTTTAAAAATAACTCCTGAGGTGAAGAGATTTTAAAGTATATTGAGGATTATATTTTTCTTTAATTTTTTAAATTGTACTTTTATATTTAATTTGTTCTAACAGGGACATGAGAAGAGTTGACATGCATAGATCTTGTATTATTTCATGGTTAAAATCTGTCCTGCTACCATATTCAGAGTGCCACTTTCACATTATGAATTATTAGGTTGAAAATTACTCTGTTTTATAATCACTTTCACCCAATACTGATTTACATACATTGCCTTGATCACAAATAGATGTTGACCAAATGGATCACAATGACCAAGTGGGTATTTCTTTGAAGATGAAGCATTTGCTTTATATGGCAAACGTTTGAATACTTAATATACTAAAAAGAAACTAAAACAATAATAAATAAAAGAGAATCTTCTCTAAATTAAATTACCATTTAAGTAATTTAGCTCCATTCTCCACAAATCTGAGTATTAACATTTCTCAAAGTGTAGTGTCTTGTGTTGGGTTACTTTAAATTTCTTACTTAAATGGTTGAGTATAATTGAAACCAATGCCTTAATACATCTGTATATAATATTTGAAACACTGGACGTATATTCAAATACTGTTCACTACTTGGTGATTATCAAAATCTAATTATTTTAAATAAGTATTGAAACAGCACAAATATTGTTACTGTATTTATGAAATTGATTATATTTGCATGGCTCAATATCTAATGTCTAGAAACTCAGGGATAAATAAGTGTAAAGACATATTCACACACATGCATATGAATTTTGGTTAACAAGGTGTGTCAGTATGTAAAAATTGCTAGCAAATTAAGTTCTGGGAAAGTGTCATTTGTGAAGATTATGTAAGATTCTGTGCCATTACTTTTCATTGCCTTTGGGTAAAGTCAGTGTTCCCTGTAATATTGACAAGAATATCCATGAAGAAGACATTAAAGAAGCATAAGTGTGATAAATATTCACTTGCCTAAAGAAAAATGTGAAGTGCCCTTATTCTTTCTCAGTATTGATGTTTCCATTAGTTTGTCTGTACACCTCAAATCATCAGATATATTCACATTTTAATACTTGTTATATATTTCAGGGTGTTGATGATGCCTTCTATACATTAGTTCGAGAAATTCGAAAACATAAAGAAAAGATGAGCAAAGATGGTAAAAAGAAGAAAAAGAAGTCAAAGACAAAGTGTATAATTATGTAAATACAATTTGTACTTTTTTCTTAAGGCATACTTAAGTGGTAATTTTTGTACATTACACTAAATTATTAGCATTTGTTCTAGCATTACCTAATTTTCTTTCTGCTCCATCCAAACTGTTAGCTTTTATCCTGAATGCTTATTTTAAAATGACAGTGGAAACTTTTTCCTCTAAGTGCCAGTATTCCCTGAGTTTTGGTTTTTGAACTAGCAATGCCTGTGAAAAAGAAGTTGAATACCTGAGATTTATTTCTTGGGGTTTTTGGTGCATGCAGTTGATTACTTCCTATTTTTCTTACCAGTTGTAAACTTTGGTGTGAAACAAATTAATGAAGCTTTTGAATCCTCCCTATTCTGTTTTATCTAATCACATATATGCTAATTATAACTTCAGTTGAGATTTCACTATTGGTTTTACAGAAACATTGAGGGAACATGAATTTCTGAGCTTCCTGTAGAGTCTTCTTGTAGGCTTTATGTCCTCTAGTTTCAGCCACCCCTAATGAATGTAAATTTACACTGTTCATAAAGGTTTTCTTCCTCTTTCCACTGCTATTTGTTATAGTCATGTTCCCCCAAATATTATATTTTTTCTATAAAAGGAAAAAATGGAAAAAAAGGGCAATGGAAGATTATTAAAAGGCCATTTACTTTCCATGAGAGATAAATTCCTATAATACTCTGAATAGCTTTTTCTGTTAATGGAGGTCTGGTATCTAATGAGGATTATAGCAACCATTTGTGGGCTATATTTACATGCTACTAAATTTTTGTAATAATTTAAAACATTTTAACGTGTAAAAATTCTCATAGGAATTAAATGTAGTCCTCATGTGTCAGATTGCTGTTTCCTAAAATAACTTTAAACCTTTTCTTGAACTTCAGTCTTTAAAAATAGTTTTAATTCTGGCATTAAAGATTATTTGAGCCAGTTAGCTTAGTAGGTGTTAAAAGAAAACAAGTTGAAGTCCTGTGTGAACCTGTGAGCTTCATGGTGAGTTTCACAGTGTGGAGAGCATCCCTATGGTCTTCCTATGTTGTCAAGCATTGGTTGGTCAAAAATGGGAACTAGAGGTTTGGCTAGCTCAGCAAGATACATTCTCACTGTGTGGTGGTTCTGCTTACAGATCAAGAACATCACTTTAGAAAAAAGCAAACTTTTGAAAATAAATTATTTTAAATGAGACTTTTGGGGTGGGGATGGGGAAGACTAATTTTTTTTTTAAATAAGGAAAGGAAAGTTTCAAAGTCTCTAGTATTGGCTAGTTCTCTTAATCTGGCTAAAGCAACTAAAGTAATATTTCATAAAATGTTCCAAGTTTGGTCCATATTTTAAGAATATCTAATGCTGAAAACTAGGTAAATTAGCAAAATGATTATTTCAGTACAATTTTCCTTTTTTAAAATTTTCCTTTTGTAAGACATTTGATGTGAGAAGGTATGTTGACGTGAAAATAATCAGTGGACTAGGAGGAAAGTGACTTTAGATTCTGGTGTCTTTACAACTCCAATTTTGGGCAAATCACTTATCCATTTCTTTATGTTAAAATAAGTCATCTCAAGGCTATAGCTAGCATTATAATTACGTGATTCACATTCAGTTTACATAAAAATATGCCTATTTGTTAGTCTCAGCACAATCTATAACTTCTTACCTGTGTTGCCATCTTCAGTGCCAGTCTTAGGCAAAATTGTACAAGAGGTGAAGTTTATTTTTTAATATGCTTTCTCAATATTTAACACCCTTCTCCCATATAAGTATCATCTTGCCAGCCTACCCTTCTGTATGACCCACAACTTGATGCTTTTCCTTGAAATATGTCTAATTCCCCTACACTCAAGATTTACGCTGCTTTAGATATCTCCTTGAAGACTTCCCATCAAGTCACATCAAAATGCCCTACATCTTCCTCAGGTTCAACATGACCTGACAGATACTACCATGAGATTGGACCTAATGGTTAATTTTGAGGTGATGGCTGTAGCAATTTAAGCTTGATCCTTTGAATATTATCTGTTTGCTGCCTGGTCCATTAGTGACTATTTAGGAATTTTCATATCTTCTACGAGTAGACAGAACCCTATCCAGTGGAAGAAGAATTTAATAGGGTAATGCTGAAAAAATTCCTTAGATAATTTACAATTAGGACTAGCCCTGGTAACAGTGACATATTGCATTGTTTTAATAATTAAAATCTTACAATGAAAAATACTTCAAAATTTAATTCATAAAGCCTACCTTTTAACATGGTTCATTAATTCTATATAGTTGAGTGCCCACTAAATGCCAGGCAGTACACAAGGCACTGGAGATATTGTGGTAAAGGGGACTTAATCCCTTTCCTAAAGAAGTAGTGCTTATATCCTCCTGAGGCATTTGGCACATGACCCAGAGACAACATAATGCATATTTTAGTTTTGTAAGGAAGGGAGTTGGTTTCTTAAGGTTTCTTCCATTTCTGGAGTAATTATTTTGCTCTGATTCCATTGTAACTGGTTAATCAAGCTACTTTATATAAATTACTTTTATGTCATTGTTTTAAAGGAGGAAACTTGATTATATATTTTTTATTTGGCATAACTGTGTGATTCTATTGGGACAATTATAGTATACATAAAGTTGTATGACATAATATTAAAATTCCCAAGTGTATAATATTCTGGTTGGTCTCTTTGTATAAGTAATTAAAATGGACTTTTAAAATTAAATATTGAATTCTAAAAGTTATGTTTATCTAAGTAGGACTAAACAGATGCCTGAACTAATTTACAGAAAAGGAAATTTCTGTGTAGAAATCATTATGATTTCTGAAATGCTTTGCTAAACTACAGGTTTACAGAATATCATCTAGGTGGGATGTTAAGACTTATATAGAACCTATTCTTGTTTCTATCCAAGAGAAAGAAATGGCCAGACTTCAAGAACAGCAGTGCATAATTGAGTGAGGGAATTTTAAGACTCTTGCATTTTTGACATAGCTGGACAATTTTTTTTAAGCAGTGGTAATTTTCCTTTATTATATGAATTTTAAATGATTTGACAAAAGGTTTTCATAGAGATTTTAAAAGGGGAGAGATGATCCTAGAAGTAACATAAATATTGTTTAATTATTACAGCCTTAAAGATAAAAATCCTTGTTGAAATTGAAAAAGTGCTAAATTACATAGTCTTAGACATTAACATGTTTGTGGAACAATGTAGCAGAAGTCTGTAGTATAATTTGAGTGGATATTCCCAATTAGGAATTCTAAGCTCTATTTTAACTGAGTCACACTGCATAGGAATTTAGAACCTAACTTTCATAGATTATCAAAACCTTTGCCACCTGCACAATTTTGTTCTAGTATATAATATAAAGAAATCTTGTGAGGCATGTTAAGTTGCAGTTTGTACAAATTCATCTCATTTGTATTCCAGTGACTTTTTTTCTCCTAGTCGTTTTTTTTTTCCCTAAACAGTATATACACAGTTTTTTTGTAGGCAATAAAAACTGTCATTTACATTTGTCAAAAAGTAATAATTTCTTGATAATTATGTACTAATGGTTTTTAAAAACCTATCAGTTACTATAAAACTGAATTTATATTTAATAACTTCATGTTAATATTGGGTAGCATGAAATCTGTTTTGATAAATTCAACAGCATACAACTGGTAGCTGCAAATTCTTTCAGAAAATGAAAATTAATTTCTAAAGATACATTCACATCAGTTTTAAAACACAGTCATAACTAGATTAATACTTGTTTTAGTTTAATAGTTTTAAGTGCCTGTTTGGGATGATGCATAATCTTAAGACCATCTTTAGGTTAATTTAGATGAATTTAGGGAAAACAGTTATTACCTACAGAAGTGTGGGTTACAGAGGGTCCACCTCCCCATAGAACTAAATGGGTTATGTAATATTTTATCCAAAAGTTTCCAGTTCCACTGTCTTGTGTTTTCATGTTGAAAATACTTTTGCATTTTTCCTTTGAGTGCCAATTTCTTACTAGTACTATTTCTTAATGTAACATGTTTACCTGGAATGTATTTTAACTATTTTTGTATAGTGTAAACTGAAACATGCACATTTTGTACATTGTGCTTTTTTTGTGGGGCATACGCAGTGTGATCCAGTTTGTTTTCCATCATTTGGTTGCTCTGACCTAGGAATGTTGGTCATATCAAACATTACATTTAAAAATGACCACTCTTTTCACTAAAATTAACTTTTAAATGTTTATAGGAGTATGTGCTGTGAAGTGATCTGAAATTTGTAATATTTTTGTCATGAACTGTACTGCTCCTAATTATTGTAATGTAATAAAAAGTTACGGTGTCTATGACAGTGTGTATTTCTTCATAGAAGTTTGAAACATTTGCCCCACAATTGACATTGAGTAGTTTCTAAGCCACTGACACTATAGTGTATTAGTAAATCTTTTTTCTTGCAGCTTGTAAGTTAGAAATATTCTTTATTTATGAAAGGTACTGTGAACATTATGTTAAGGTTTAAGTGTTGCATAAGCTTAAGACCATCTTAGGTTTAAGTCCATTGCCATGTTAACTCATTTAGAAGTATGTACAAAACAGATCTGCCTTTATGACAAAAAATAACAATATTTATTACTTTTTATCAGAGAAGGTAATTGATACACAACAGGTAAAATTTGTTTTAAGGTCCAAAGGGAACTAGTAGCAAAATAATGGGAACATTGAATAGGTATGTGTGAAATGCCAATTGCTGGCAGGCTATTTCAAGATCAGAAGTAATCTTCATGTATGTTATTTCTCTAACTGCACTAAAATCATGACCAGATGCTATTTGATTTGTAGTGAACCTTCCTAATGTACCAAACGGAGCCAAAAATAAGGTACTCCTTCAAAAATTAATAGAATAATGTTCAAGAAATTATTTTGCCTAGTTACATGTGAATTAAGTGGCATTGTCAATAAAATGGAGAAATGGGCTAACAGTAATTGGCAAAAACCTATTAAGTTAAAACCATTTTAAGTACATTATTTTTTCATTTGAAATTAGGTGCTCATTAATTTATAACTTGTAGTTGGCAACATTATGTAGCTAAGTTTCTATTCCAGTAAAAAATTGTGCATAAAGGATTGCTGATAAAACTCAGTATGACTAGAAGTTGAAACCTGTTTTTAGTTCAGTAAGGCAGCTTAACTGTTTTTTACATGATGTGTATATGTTGCCATTTTAAGTGGAATTATTTTTATATTTGTTATACATAAATAGATGGCACTGGTTTTCAGCTAAATTATGGTAATGATCAGTTAGTTAGTGTCTTTGGTATCTGAATAATAGCGTTGTTTCATAGCTCTGTATTTCCTAAGGAAATACAAGGCTTCTAGCTCTTTCATTACAAATTCACCCCGTCCAATAAGTTCTTTGATCTTCTCTGGGTCCTTCACATCTTTGTTTTTAAGGAAAGCATTCTTCAGACGCCTTTTGAAATAGTCTGCTCCTTTTGGATACTCTCGTCCAAGGTACAGCAACTTCAAAAGGAAAGATATATTTCTAAATAATCCATGTCATATAATAATATTTATAAAATTGGCAACATAATTACTTACATTTTTATAAAGATTCAGTACTTCCCCTCGTAAAGTATTGGCCATTTTCATTTATCATGGATAATAAACCACTTTTATACACAGCATACCTAAAGAAAAGAAAAGTTTCTTTGCAAATAACTATTGTAGTCAAAAAAGAAGCAAAGGAAGATTTTACATTTTGGGAAAATGCTAACCTTTTTTTTTTTATCACATTAATACTTGGAGCACTTTTATGTTCCACGTACTGGGATACAGCTATGAACACTGGTCAGATAAGATACCTGTTCTCACAGAACTAACATCTTCTGAGGGAGACAAAAGAAGCAAATTTCCTTAGCATCAAAGGAAGACTATTCTGCCTGGTCAAATCTAGAAGGGTGCAATCTTAAGAAAGGCTAAAGAGGAGAAACTGGTGGTGTGAGTCAACCAGGCCCATGATAATGGCAGATGGGCAAGAAGGTGGGCAGTGAAGAGGCCAAGTGGGCAACTCAAAAGGGGTTACATGAGCAGGCAACATTCAGTGGGATTATACTATCTTATATGTGATTCATTGGTGCTGCATGGCAGACAGCTCCTTAAATGCACCATGACAAACTAAACATAGAAAACATTTCACAATACTTGTTATAATTGTGGGGATTAAATCATAACATTCCTAACATAAGCAGGCCCAAAGTAAATGTCACTTACAACCTCCTTCAAAATTCTCTAATTCCCATTTTCCCAATGACCTACAAAAACATTTTTATACTTTACAGTCCTCATTAACATAATTTTTCTTTTGAAATAATTTCAGTCTTGCAACATACTACTATTTTTTTCCTGAACTATTTGAGAAGCTGCTAACATGCTGTCTGATCCACCTGACTACTTTGCAGAGCCATCCAGTAGAAATATATGAGCCACCTACATAATTTTACATTTTCTAGTAGTCCATATTAAAAAATAAAATGTGAAATAATTTTAATAACATTTTTAAAAAATATATTTTATTGATTATGCTATTATAGTTGTCCCATTTTCCCCTTCACTCCCCTCCACCCTGTACACCCTCTCCCACCCACGTCCCCCCCTTTAGTCATGTCCATGTGTCATACTTATAAGTTCTTTAGCTTCTATATTTCCCATACTATTCTTACCCTCCCCCTATCTATTTTCAACCTACAACCTATGCTACTTATTCTCTGTGCCTTTTCCCCCTCTCACCTCCTCCCACTCCCCTGTTGCTAACCCTCCATGTGATCTCCATTTCTGTGGTTCTGTTCCTGTTCTAGTTGTTTGCTTAGTTTCTTCTGGTTTTGCTTTAGGTGTGGTTAATAATTGTGAGTTTGCTGTCCTTTTACTATACATTTTTTTTTAATCTTTTCTTAGATAAGTCCCTTTAACATTTCATAAAATGAGGGCTTGGTGATGATGAACTCCTTTAATTTGACCTTATCTGAGAAGCACTTTATCTGCCCTTCCATGCTAAATGAAAGCTTTGCTAGATAGAGTAATCTGGGATATAGGTCCTTGTCTTTCATGACTTGGAATACTTCTTTCTAGCCCCCTCTTGCCTGTAACGTCTCTTTTGAGAAATCAGCTGACAGTCTGATGGGAACTCCTTTGTAAGTTACTGTCCACTTATCTCTTGCTGCTTCTAGGATTCTCTCCTTCATTTTTACCTTGGCTAATGTAATTATGATGTGCCTTGGTGTGTTTCTTCTTGGGTCCAACTTCTTTGGGGCTCTCTGAGCTTCCTGGATTTGCTGGAAGTCTATTTCCTTTGCCAGAATGGGGACCCAAGCATCATTTCCTTTATTATTTGTTCAAATACGTGTTCAATCTGTTGCTTTTCCTCTTCCCCTTCTGGTAACCCTATAATTCGGATGTTGGAACGTTTAAAGATGTCCTGGAAGTTCCAAAGCTTCTCCTCATTTTTTTTGAATTCTTATTTCTCTGTTCTTTCCTGTTTGGTTGTTTTTTTCTTCCTTCTGGTCCACTCTATTGTTTTGAATCCCAGTTTCCTTCCCATCACTGTTGGTTCTCCGTGCATTTTCCTTCATCTCTTTTATGGTAACCTGCATTTTTTTATCTAATTTGTGCCCAAAATCAACCAATTCTGTGAGCTTCCTGATCACCAGTGTTTTGAACTGTGCATCTGATAGATTGGCTATCTCTCGGTCGCTTAAAATGATGAGTCCTGGGGCATTGATCTGTTCTTCTGTTTGAGCCATGTCTCTCTCTCTCTCTCTCTTTTTTTTTTGGTCTGGTTGTTCCTATTACGGTGAGGGGCGGAGCCTTAGGTGTTCACTGCGGCTGGGCACCCCAGTCACTAGATTGTGACGTTGTATGTGGGGGCAGGGGCGGGAGGGAAGAATGGTGGTAGCTCCGTTCTCCTGGGACCTCAGTCCCTTCTCTGGGATCCTGGGTTGCATGCTCTGCCCTGGTCCACAATCGCCACCTCACTGGGTCTGCCAGCTGCCACTTGCGTACTCAGGGTCCACCTGCTGCGATCTTGCTCACTCCAGATGCCTTACGCGCTCCCGGTTGCCTTATGCGCCCAATTCTCCCTGTTCTCTGTGCACCGCGACCCATGCCTGGCTGCTCCTCTCTGTCCCTCCTACCGGCCTGGATGAACGGGTCTACTTCTACTTCTTGGCTGTCCAACTTCCATTCAGATAAATTCCCTGTCAGTTCTGGGTGTTGTTCTGCCTCTAAATTGTTGTTCTAATCTTGGTTGTGCGTGGAGGTACGGTGCATCCATCCACCTATGCCTCCATCTTGGCCGGAAGTCTTTAATAACATTTTTATATTTAAAATACTATGTCAATGTGCCATGCAAGTTACATTTTAGTGCTTGTAAGTACCCATGACTTAGTTGCTACCACACTGGATAGCACAGCTCAGAGTGGATTTTCCATGAACAAGGGCATTTTCCTACAGAACAATAAAACCATCAGCATCAGGAAATTAACATTGCTACATTAGTCCTGTCTGATCCACAGCCTCTTCATATTCTTGAAATTGCTTTAAAGATGCCCTTTATATTTTATAGCAAAAGGATCAAATCCAAAATGACACGTTGCCCATTTATTTTGATGTTAATTTACGGCTAGACTCAGGCTGTGTAGTTTGGGCAAAAATACAGACATGATGGTTTGTTCATTTTAATGTATTTTATCAGGTGGACACACATTCCAATTTGTTACAGTTGATGTTAATTTTGATCATTAAGGTAGTGTTTGGATTATCCACTGTAAAGTTACTTTTATTTTTTTCCCTTTGAAGTATTTTGTGGGAAGTACTTTGAGACTACATATATGTATTCTTCAAAAAAGCCTTTCATCTTGCAAAAACACATTAAAAATAACAGGGCTTATAGAGGAAATGGGTTTGGGACAGAACACTCAAATCCTATGCAACTAAACAACTACTAAACAGAAATTATTACCTGGAGAGCTAATTTGGATCACTTGGGTTGCTCTGAGCCTAGCTGCAGACTCATGGAGATGTTTAAAATGCTCAAAACTAATAGAGTAGCCTGGGAGTGGGAGCTGGGCTGGAGACTAGGAAGGGATCAAAAGAAACAGGAGGAAATCTTTGATAATGATGGGTGTTTATCATGATTGTTGTGATGGTTTCATAAGTATATGTGTATGCCAGATTTATCAAATTGTGTTTATAATTTAAATAAGTGTAGTTTATGTCAGTTTCTCAGTAATACTTTTAAAATGCTAAGAGTATGGTTGTGAGATGTGGTCAGGGTAGGTGATTCAGTCGGCCACCTGTCAGTTGAATAACATGAGGTATTCCTCTCTGGGGAAGGAGCCCTGAGTGTAAGCACTAAGTGAAGACTTTTTCTCTTGTGGAAGTTGATAAATCACATAGGAACCAACATCCATGTTAGAACTTGTATAATCGCCTTTTTTACGAGTTTATGAGCTAATTCACATAAGAAGCATACAATGTAGCAGAACAAGTTCTTTTCCTTTGAGTTCATAAATGGTAGCATGCTTTCAGTTTTCTGTTATTTTCCTCCAAGTTACTCTTTTTCTGCTTGCCTTTGCGGCAGCATTTCTGAGCTTTCCTCCAAAGACTGGAAAACCTTTTCTGTACTCTTAGAAGTGAAAGACCAAAAAATGCATCTTAGAAGGTCTGCATATGTGGTTGCAACTTACAGACTGAGCTTCACTTAGGGCGATCTGAGTGGGCCCTTCATTGGGGAACCTCTGTCATCAGTCTTAGATCTTTCCTCTTGGGCTGGTCAGATTCCCCGGCCCAAGACTGGAAGAATACAGTCTTCCATTCTTCTGAGGCTTTGCCTGTTCAGTGGAAGAGTAACGTGGGCCTTGCATTCAGTGTTACGTATATTCAAATTTACTTAATTTATTTTCGCTGTAGTTCTCGTGTACATAGTATGACTAAAAACACCCCAGTCCAGAGACTAGTACTATTTTGTCCACAAATAAGCCTCCAGTCTTCCATGCGAGTGAGGGGGTACAGTCACTTAGAAGTGTTGCTTAAATAGCTTTCACTTAATCCTATTTCATTTTTCATTTCCAGTTCCAATGGCCGCCTTTCAGTGCCTTTTGTAAGTAATGCGGTATAAATTGAGATTTAATGGTGTGCTAAGTCACATTCACCTACCTGCCCTGCAGCTTCCAATCTTATTGTCATCTCTCTCATTTTTCCAACTTATTTTTATATCTTATTATTGAAAATTTAGTGGAGTTTTGGGAGGGAATGAACTCAGATGGGTGTATTAACCTGCTATATTAATACCTAATTTCACTTTTTTAACCTTCTTGTTTGGCTGAGAGCCATTTTCCAAATACAGTTTAATTTTACAGTAAAATCTGAAGAATGACTCTTAAGAACCACGTGCTTTCAGGGTTCTAAAATGGCTGCAGAGTAGCTGGAAGCTCCATCCACTTGCTCCCATCCTCGGTCAGTCGGGTCTTGCAGCTAAACCACAGACAGAGCAATCAACTCAAAAATCTGGCTGAGTGTGAGTCAGTGCATGCGAGTGTGTGAGTGCCTGTGCACTTGCCAGAGCACTCCGGGGCAGGTGGCCCAGGCTTTCCTGGTGGAGCCGCCATCTACTGCTGCCCCAACTACAACCTGG